ATGTCCACTCATTACTCCCAAGGGATGAATGGATCTGTGCTATCTGCTTTGTAGTGCAATTAAAATGAATATTTATGTCATTCTGAAATTAAATTTGAAAACAAAGATTTTTTTTTCAATTTGTTACAAAGATTTATAAAAAGAAAAAAAATTGTAGTCTTGATGCAACATTTTTAATAAGGTTTCTGCTTGACTCTTAGATTTGTAGGGACTATCTACCATAATTAAAACTTTTTTTTAAAATACTTGTTGTTTTTTTTTTAGATTCAATGTCAGACTGGTTTTAAGCTGCAATTCATATGGACAATGGGCATGCTAATTCCAAATCCAATATCATACCCCCCCCCCCCCCCCCCGAGTATAATTAGTTTTAATTAATTAGTTTATTATACAATATCAAATTAGTTTTAATTACTTTACACCAAATTCATTTTAAAAGTTAGGCTAGCCCACAAAAAACTATTTCATCCAACATGGCTGATTCCTCTGCCCAATTCCCAAGAGATATAGATAACACCCAGGGATTTATCAGTACCTTCTCAGGGGCCGAAATTCGGTCCCATTCCCAATTGAAAATGAGCTCAGTTTTTCCCAATTTGGTTGTATTTTTTCCCAATTGGTGAACAATGCTTTTATATTTAATTTTCTTGGAAAAACACAGAGTAAAATTGTCAGATTGTCTGTAATTTTCATCTATTTAACTCATTTAGCAAAGCTACAGTCATAATACATGTTTAACAACACTGAAAAAACATCGCCAACTTTTAATCCGAATTTCCTCCGTTTTTCTGAAAATGGTGATATTGTGTAATTGTATAGATTTACTAAGTTATTTCCACCTACTCAAATGATCTACAAATGAATGGTAAGGACTGTAGGCATTATTTCAGATAGAAAAATATATTTTCAGTGTTTTAATACATATTAAAAGAGGATTTTGAGAAAATATGTACTTCAGTATAATTTTTTGCAGGAGGTTTATATTTTCCAGAAACAGATTCTATAATGACCTAAATTAAAATCTCATACACACATGTACTACCCTAAGTTGTATCAATACTTTATACTCATTTAAGTAAATTTTACTTTATTAGTCTAGTATTCATAATTGATCTTGTATGATGAAGTTGGATCATATTTAATTGTCTGTTTGGTTGCCCAAATTAGAGTTCATGCTGAAATATTAAATGAATTACACTTGAATACATGATTTAAGCAACATTTTTAATTTTTCCCAATGTCATCAAATAGCCGATAATTTTTTCCCAATTCCCCCAAAATGGCGTTTCCCAAAATACGCTGATAAATCCCTGACACCTGCTTGATCAGAGATGCTCTACCAGTTAGCTCCTCACACTAAACTCATTAATTTCTCTCTAATTTAACATGCAATTTTCTGTTATCAAAATTCTCCTTGACCAGTGCTTGATAATTACACCCATGGGAGAGGTGGAACTTCTCTTGTAACATTATATTTGTTATAGATTGCTGTAAAGTATATAATGAAAAAAGTAAGTATTTCTTGATTTTAACATCTTTTTAATAAGGATACTGCAAAACTTCTACATTTTTTGGGATTGTGTAATTTAATAGTAAAAAGACAGTTTTTTTAAAAAAAAATTTCACTTAAATTCAAGGTCACAGTGACCTTGAAATAGGTCGCGACACACCTTCTACCTAAGATGCATAAACTGGCCAAGTTTGATGATTCTAAGTCTAATAGTTTTCTAGTTATGAGCCGGACAGGATTTTTCCATATTTGGCCATAGCATCTTAATTAAAGGTCAGAACGACCTACTTTTAGTGCGCGACACACCTTCTACCCAAGAAGTATCAGCTGACAAAGTTTGATAATCCTAGGCCTAATAGTATTAAAGTTATGAGCCGGACACGAGAAAAGCTAACAGACAGACAGACGGACGGACATGAATGCCATAACATAATATGTCCTGTCTAAAGATGGGCGTATAAAAAGATCTAGGAGGGCGCTTATAGGGGCAGGGGCGGTTAATAGGGAGTATACTGTATTAGCCAATCAGATTTCAGACATGTGCCCCATGTCCTAATTGCATTCAATTTTGATAATAACATAAGGTAGGAACCAGTTGTACCTATTAATATTCTAAATTTCATCCTGTTTTCTTGAAATCTACAGTAGTTATAGCCATACAAAGTTTCAGTCAATCAAATTGCAACAAATGTGATCTGCTTCAAAAACTTTAACCTGGTCACTCATCTGGAAAATGCAGGTCAGATCCAGCATCTGAAGCAAGCCTGGTAGTGTGCATCTTTAGATGTATCATCCATGCAAGTTTGGTCAACAAAGGGGTTATAATTACTTGGAAATGAGATCTACTCTAAAAACTTTAACCTGCTCCAAAATAATTAACCTGGTCATTCTTTAGCTGAAGTTGCAGCATCTGAAACCTTGCCTGGTACAGTGAAACATACTAGAACCATTCTCCATGCATCTCTGATTAATATAAGGCATAGAAGTACTTGAAAAGAAATCTGCTCCAAAAACTATATCCTGGGACACCAAAGCTGAGGTATTACATAAGCTCCCCCCAACTTTGTTGAGGTGAGCTAATAAAAATTAGTCAATTTACTTGTGAAAATGTAACTGTTGTTCATTATTTAGGATGCAGGGGTGTGCAATTAGCATTGCCTGATGCCCGGGGCTACCATTTCTGGGGGTCGGGCTAGTGGTTTTGTGCACTGAGTTAGCCCCTTGGGCTAGTAAAAATTAAAACTATGCATGTAATTTACATGAAAAGCACAACCGGTATTTTCACCCATTTTTTGCTATTAAATTCCCAACCAGTGAAAATTTTCCAGGCAGCATGCTCCTACTGTCCGTGAATCTCCATAAACTTATCTATCTTGCATTACTACCTGACTTATTTACTTCCAAAAACGATCGATTTTTCCTAATCCGAATTTCCTTCATTCCTCTGTTTATTTTAAATACATGCAGATATCTCATTAAATAATTTACGATAACTCAATCAACTGAAAGACAAATGTTATGTGATTAACATAAAATACATTTCTGGTGTTTTTAATCATTTAAGATAAAAAAAATGATTTTCGCTTCATTTTAGATGAGCTAGTGCAGTGATCAGAAAAAGATAACTTATTAAATTCATTTTTATTTCTAGCATAATCATTAATTTATATATGATTCAATTTTATTAGTGAAAATTAAACACTAATTTAAAATGAATGACCTATTTAGTACCCCTATTTTTTCAACAATTAACCTTCTTTTCAGTTCAATAGGTCCCAATTGGTTTAAAATTTTTGCCCCTATATTTGCATGATTTGGGCTAGTAACTTTTTACTTGGGGCTAGTAACTTTATTGCTGCCACTGGCCCGTGGGCTAGTGCTTGAATTTTTTAATTGCACACCCCTTGGATGTTTAATTTGAATAATTTCACAAGCACTTATTTTAATCATGCTTTATTTACTAGCTAAAGTCAAACTGATGTCAACAGACTTCTAAATAGTTGAAACAGAAACACAGGTTGCAATGTACACCTTCTTGTTACACGTCATTAAAATCTCAACAGACAAATTACAAGAACGTGTACGTCAAAGTATATGTACATGTTCATGTAGAAGTTTAAGATTTCAACCTCTCTATTAACTATACACTTATTGTCTAAGCAATAAAAGGTCTTCAGGTTTTCTCGACTCTTTTGAAAAAAAAAACCACAATCTTATCAATTAGATAACTATCAATGATTAAATGATGTCATCTGAGAGCTTCCAAAGATATGTAAATACCGATGAAAAATAAAATATTTTTAATTACAAATTGCTTTCCTGTTTTCTTTATTCACTTTCTGTCAATTAGGCATGAAGTGATCCAAATGAAAATAAAGGTCATTCTACACCTAAATCATTTACAACTGATTATCCAAGAAGTTTCCATAATAAAATACCCATGTTTGAGACAACTTTTGGTTTTTTGGTGGGCACTTCTGGTGAAAATAATTTGCATGGACATGATCTATCTAACATCAGTATAAGCCAAACATTTCTATAAAAAGAAAAAAATTGAAAAAATAACTTTTTGGCATCACTTCCTGCCACGACTGGAAGTCACAGCAACATATGATTCTGATGATGCACATTAACTGATGAATAATTATCACTCCTCAAAGTTTTAGACTGCAGTTGTATACTTTTTGCCAAGCAATTATTTGAACAAAACTCTATGTAAAGTTTGGTTGAAGTTGGCCCAGTGGTTCTGGAGAAGAAGATGAAAATGTGAAAAGTTAATGACAAGAATTACAGACAATGGACAAATTTTTTGATTTGTCACTAAAAAAACTCACTTGAGTCTTCATCACCGAAAAACTCACTTGAGTCTTTGGCTCAGGTGAGCTAAAAAGTTGATACACAACTGGACATAGCATTAGCTCTTTGAGCCTTTACATAAGCTTGGCTTTCAAATTATATTGGATCAAAGAACTATCCCCCATCTGCTTTGAGATGACCTCTCAAGTTTAAGTTGTGTATTATAGACACAAAACAGCAAATTCAATCTAAAGAATTTTAACTTTTAAAAAATGTGTTCCACTTCAAAAAGGAATTCATCAATATTTGTGATTTTCTACTATTTGTTATTGATGACATATTGTAGGTAAATGCACACTAGGAATAATTTACTTGTATATATCACATTCAGATGACCTCTGGAAATAATGACTACTCCTTAAAATGCTTGACAGATATGGTGGATATTAACTGTAAGTGTGTAAGTTTAATTTGGGAAGACTTTGAATCATTGTGACATACTTTTTTTTCTCTCTCAAGTTTTGTGTATCCAATCTGCATAGAAAATAGTTTGAAAATGATAAGAATTTTGATGTTTACTGACATTTTCTTTCAAGACAAATTTTAATTGTTATCATCAAAATGAGGAAGTTGTGTGAGAGAACAGGTTATAATTTGCTTCTATGTATTACAATTATTTGATACATATATTAACCTTTAAAATAGCCTGTAACAAGATGCATCTTATCTCAGGGTTTGGTTCTCTGGTTTTATCTGGTGGTAAGTACTGCAATCTTTCTGGTAGTTTCTCCATATCATTGTCATCAAATTCCTCAGGACCAGCCAAAGGAAGCAGAAGGAAAGACAACATGTCCACTTTGTCACTCAGTAACCACTCATGGTGTTCTGTGGATTAAACTTTAATTACTTTTACTTCTACATTCAATAAGCTGAAAATAAAAAGAATTTTACCCTTGTTATTCCCATGAAAAATTTTATTCTCACTCCATACTAATGCCTCTTGTGGCAGCACATATTATCACTGTTGCACATATTGTTTCCAACAATATCATGTGCAGATTTGCATTGCACATTGTCATGCATTTGCAGCAATGTACCTGCACAAATTGTCCATGATGACAAAGTGTGCAGATCCTTGTTCTAAACATAACTAGGTGAAAACATTTGAAATCATTTTTACAATTTATCAACTGTTTAATAAACAAGGGCCTTAATGGTTGCATGAGTATAACACTGTGAAAGATACACAGAAGTATATAATAAAATAAAAGTAAACTGATAGATGAAGATATATTGCCCAAAGCAAGAAAAATAGGATGATCAGTGATCAACATAACTGTGAGTCAGTGTACTATTCATTATTAAATCACAATACTTGTCAGTGCTAATTATACATTCCCATATGTCACAATTACCTTGCAAACTAAACTAGAACTGTCCAAAAGGGACAAATACCCCCCGCTGGGTTTTTCAGAGGTGCCAAATCACTAATATTTTATGGATCAAAGAGGTGTTCACAATTTTCTTATTAACATTTAGAGTGAAAAAATAATTGCTCATTATATTTTTTTTAAGAATGAAACTAAGGAACAACCTAATAAAACATCAATACCAATACATTGTAATTACATTATTTTTAATACATTGAAAAAATTAAATTGCAACTATCTGTCATCTTTTTGAGACATGACATTCTGCAAATTGATTTTTGAAAAAAAAAATCAATTAATTACAAAATCAAATTAATCTTGATAACTCTATATCAAATTCATTTTAAAAATGAAAGGCTGGTCATCCTTTAACTATGTATTATGACAGACAATAAAGTACAATGGAGAGAATTAAAGAACAGAGATCTTTAAATTCCCAGGAGATATAGATAACACATGCTTGATCAGAGATGCCCTAACAGCTTCCCACACTGAACTCATTAATTAATGAATGCATGTCCACTCATTACTCCCAAGGGACAAATGGATTTACACTATCTGCTGTGTAATGTAAAAATTGTTTTTAATACTTGGTGAATTTTTTTTTGTTTTAATGAATAGTTTTAAGCTGTAGTTAACATTTTTGTACAGATATTCTAGATTCTGTGTCTCAAACCTTAGAAATAAATCACAAATGACTAAGTCAATAAAAATTAAAAAAAAAAACTGTAAAATGCAGAAAAATTATCAAATAATGTTGAAAATATCAGGTGCACATCTTCATATGGTAAATAATGAGTGTACAAATTTTCATACAATTCTATGAAATAGTCTTTGAGAAAAGGTCAGGACAAAACCACATAATAAAAATGAAAAAAACACCTGTAAAATGCAGAAAAAATATTCAATCATGATGAAAATACCAGGTGCAAACCTTCATATGGTGAATAACAAGTGTACAAATTTTCAGACAGATCTATGTAATAGTTTCTGAGAAACGCTCTGGACAAAATCTTGTCTACAGACAGACGGACAGACAGACAGACAGACAGACGGACATGGTGATTCCAATAATAACTATTGTTATACCCCCCTAAACTTCGTTTGCGGGGGGTATAACAATAGTTATTGAGCTCATATACTACATTTGTAAATCCATCACAATACAGAGTTGTGGATAACCACTCGCCCACTTGCAATTAATGCAAGTAAAATTTGCTGTGGGTGATTAGATATTACAAATCTGGTTGCCCACATGGTGAACAATTTTTTTCCGGAACATAATCACATTTCAGTTTTATATTTTATGTACTTTCAGTTTTTAAGAAAACGCTCTATTAACCTAGATTTTTTTGTGTTGCTTACAAACATATTATTCAAACATATACGTGACTGAGATCAAATATTGTGATTTATCGCAGCAGTCAAATCTCCATTGATACAAGAGCAAATGTTTGAGATTGTTCTAAAAGAAATGTTGTAACAATCGGCTATGGTTGTCACACACTCCATTCGGTCTAGTTATTCACAGATGGAATTTGAATTACCGTGTCAAATGCATACATTAAAAATTGGAATCAAACTTCATCACAGGTTGTATGTAATTTATTATTTAATGTGCCCCCTTGTTAAACCATAGATGGTTCAGTTGTATAAGTTAAACACTACAAAATGTAATGAACATATTATCGGATTAAAGTTTTTAGAAAAGAGAAACATATCAATACTACAAATAAATACGTAGGTAATCAGAGATTACAGAGCTCACCTCAACGGATGTTGTCTTTAAGTAAGGCAAAGTCCCACACTAAGCTAATAATCTAGGAGTGTGCATCCCTAGATGCAACATTTATGCAATTTTGGTCTGATAGGGCTTGCAGTTACTTGGGAATAGACTCATCCAGAAAATGTAAGTCAAATCCAGCATCCGAAGCAAGTTTTGAGATTGTTCATCCCTTGATGCATCATCCATGCAAGTTTGGTTCAGATAAGCCTTATAGTTACTTGGAAATGAGATCTGCTCCAAAAACTTTAACCTGGTCACTCATCCGGAAAATGTAAGTCAAATCCGGCATCTGAAGTAAGTCCAGTAGTGTGCATCCTTAGATGTATCATCCATGCAAGTTTGGTCAATATAGGGCTTATAGTTACTTGGAAATGACATCTGCTCCAAAACTTTAACCTGGTCACTCATCCAAAAAATATAGGTCAGATCCAGCATCCGAAGCAAGTCCAGTAGTGTGCAACCTTAGATGTATCATCCATGCAAGTTTAGTCAATATAGGGCTTATAGTTACTTGGAAATGACATCTGCTCCAAAACTTTAACCTGGTCACTCATCCGGAAAATGAAAGTCAAATCCAGCATCCGAAGCAAGTTCAGTAGTGTGCATCCTTAGATGTATCATCCTTGCAAGTTTAGTCAATATAGGGATAATAGTTACTTGGAAATGAGATCTGCTCCAAAAACCTTAACCTGGTTACTCATCCGGAAAATATAGGTCAGATCCAGCATCCGAAGCAAGTCCAGTAGTGTACATCCTTAGATGTATCATCCATTCAAGTTTGGTCAATATAGGGTTTATAGATACTTTGAAATGACATCTGCTTCAAAAACTTTAACCTGGTTACTCATCCATAAAATATAGGTCAGATTCAGCATCCGAAGCAAGTCCAGTAGTGTGCATCCTTAGATGTATCATCCATGCAAGTTTGGTCAATATAGGGCTTATAGTTACTTGGAAATGAGATCTGCTCCAAAAACCTTAACCTGGTCACTCATCCGGAAAATGTAGGTCAGATCCAGCATCCGGAGCAAGTTCAGTAGTGTGCATCCTTAGATGTATCATCCATGCAAGTTTGGTCAATATAGGGCTTATAGTTACTTGGAAATGAGACCAGCCCCAAAAACTTTAACCTGGTCATTCTTCAGCTGAAATTGCAGCATCTGAAACCTTGACTGCTACAATGAAACACACTAGAAGCATCCTCCATGCATCTCTGACTAATATAGGCCATAGAAGTACTTGAAAAGAAAACTGCTCCAAAAACCTTAACCTGGGACGCCGACGCCGAGGGTATTACGTAAGCTCCCCCAACTTCGTTGAGGTGAGCTAAAAAAAGCAATTGGAAAAATTTAGGATTTTTGTTGTTATTTTTAATTTACATATGATGTGGGCCCATGGATCACATCGTGGGCCTGTATAATTTGAAAAGTTAGGAGCCCACATGGCCCCTAAGGTTTCAAAAGTTAACCACAACCCTGCAATCCCTCTCACATTGGCCTCTCTTGGTCTTTTAAAAACATTTAATGTGCAAAGATAACATATTTTGTCTCATTTTTATTTATCTATTATTTAGGAGTCTTAATCTTACCCTTGAAAACTATGAAAGTACTTTTTGTACTTTACATAAAAATTCTTGTATAATTCTTTTATTCAATGGATCTGTAAACTAAATTACATGTATTTACAGCAGAATAGCAATGGGGAATAACATCTTTCAGTTAAGAAATAAAGTCCGCGTTATCTTGAATGTTGCAGGATAACCTCTGAGGTCGAAAAATGTTGTCTGAAATATAAAAGCCGAGGCATTAGCAGAGGCTTTTATATTTCAATCAACATTTCTCGACCTCAGAGGTTATCCTGCAACATTCAAGATAACGCAGACTTTATTTCTATTCTACCAACAGCTTTAGAATATGGCTGACCATTTCCTCTATAGAGAAATGAATTAAGTCACCATGTTGCGATTTCACTGTTCTATTTAACACCAGAGGGTCAATTTGTTTGTTACTTGTGTATCAATTGCATAAAATGCAGACAATTTCAGATTTCATTGGATTAAAAATGTCCTTTAATTATTTATAAATTTGTTTGTAATATATATTGATTACTTTTAATGAATGTAAAATTAAAAAAAATCAGTTGTCTATTTCATTGCTTTATCTGTAAAATCACGGAGTGTACAAGTTGTGGGGAGGTCAGTGGAACAGCCCAAATTGGCTATAAAATCTATTGCCTATCGACTGCGTAAGATGACACATTGATATAGTCTAAATAAGTATTAGATTCTACAGTGAAATATTTATTTCAACTGTACAGATTTGACATGTGGGTCACTCAGAATTAAAAAAAAATAACCATGAAATTGAAAATTTTTGAAAAATTTTAACTACCCATAGCACATTTTTCACTTATATCATCATATTGTACATGCATTCTAGTTAAATTTCCTGAAGTTGCAATAGAATAAAAAATTGGATTAAAAAAAAAGTTTGAGAATTTTTATTAGTAAAACTTTATTTGAAAAAAGAAATTATCATTACACCCTAAAAGACTTTCTAAAATACACAATCAAAAAAAAAAAAAAAAAAATATAGTTTTTTATGCTTCAAAATGGTATCACGGATATAACTGATTAGATTTAAACCTAGATTGAGTTTCTTCTCTTGTATATATGTGTATGTGAAAAAAAACTGCTATCTGATTGTTATTTTACATTATTTTTTCTATTCTGGTTTGAAAAGTTTTAGTATGAAAGAGATATGAAATGTAGAATTCCCCCCAAATCATTTTTTTGTCCATTTAAGTCAGCTAGTTCTTTAAATCTAAGCCAAAAAAGAATTCTGATATACAAGTTTTCTTACAAAAATACTAGATTTTGACGTGACCCTATTTTACAATATTGTGATGCACTCCTGACATCTGATATGTATTTTATTTAACATAGTTTTAAAAATTATAACATGCAATAAACCATTCTTAATTTGTAAATCAGTTAGTCCTTTTGATATTTTTTATCATTTACGGCAAGTTTTTCATATTTTCAGGACGTCAAAACATTATTATTTGCAATGTGTAATATATATTTATATACACTGTATTTAAAAATATGTGTTGTGATGAAAACTATTCTCCGAATTGACTGTAAAATGTCTGCAATTAGTTGATAGGCATAATGCTTTGAACATCAAATAGTATCAAACATTTTTTTTCAATTTATTTTTTAGTAAAGATAGATGAAGATCATTGAAAATTAATAAAAGTTTTGTTGCACTCCTGACTGCAGTAAAATTAAAACCATAGAACACAAAATTTCACAAAGTCTAGGAAACATCAAGTGGTAACAAAAATGTGCAATATTTATAGTCCAATACTTCATAATTAAAACACATAAAGTATTTAAACTTGGCTTTATATCTTTAATTATTCTCTATTTATGTCAAAAAACTAGCTAAAATATATATTTAGAAGATAAAATATATTTTATAGTATAATTTCTTCAGAGGACAAACACTGTAAGCAACTGAGGTCAACCAGAAACATTCTACTCGTATTTTTTTTCTTTATATTTATTCATATTTGATCAACAATAATTTTAACATTTTTGTTACACTCCCTACCAAGAGCATGGGAGTCTGTAAAGTAGAATTGTGAAGTGAAAATTACACTAGAAACTGTTCTGTTGTTTCACTGAAGTTGAGGTGGAATTACTTAATTTTTTTTATAACAATTTTTCAGTGTGTTTATTTTTTACATTAATAAACAAGAGGCCCAAGAGCCTTAACGGTCACCTGAGTACAATACAACAATTTATAGGATCCTTAAACTGATAAATGAAGCTTTGTCACCCAAAAGCAAGAAAAATAGTATGATAAGCATCAACAAAATATATCTGTCCCCCCATTTATCACTATTACTATGCAGAGTATTACCAAAATGTCTATTTATTAACCCCATATTATAACTTCTCACATTAGCCTCTCTTGGCCTTAGAAGAACATTTAAAAAGATAAGTTATTTTTGTCTCAATTTTATTCATCTATTATTTCCAAGTCTACCTGATCATTAAAACTATGAAAGTACTTTTTGTATTATACAATTAATATTCTTGCATAATTCTCTCATTCTATTATCCTTTCAATTACATTATTTACAATGATTAATTATCAAAGGTGAATGGCAAAGGGGAATAACTTTGCACAGCAGAATACAAGTTAATTGAGCCCTGGCCAGGACCAGAACACTTGACTAAATGGTCCAGGTGTTCAAAGTTCTGGTAAAAATACCCTTGCATATTAAAACTTTTACTCTGTTTGCCTCAAATATGCCAAGAAGCATAGAAGATTTCCAAAGAAATGCATTTTCACTATATTATTAAATAAATAAAGCCCTACCCTTATACCAGAACATCTGACCCAGGGGCCATTAACTCACAATTCTGGAAGAAGTACCCTTGCTCATCATAGCTATACTCTTGTTTCTTTGCTTTATAACCAGTAGTAGAAAAAATATTTTGAAAGAAATTATGTATTTTCACTTTATAATCAATAGAGCTCCCCCCCCCCCTTCACCAGAACCCCTGATCCAGGGGCCATGAATTTCACAATTTTTGAGGAGGCAACCATGCTCATCATAACTATGTTCTTAGTTTATTTAATATCCAGGAGCAGAGAAGAAGATTTTCAAAGAATTAATGCACTTTCACTATATAATCAATAGAGCCCCACCCTAACATCAGAACCCCTGACTCAGGGGCCATGAAATTCAAAATTTTGGAAAAGGCATCACTGCTTGTCATAACCATGCACTAAGCTTGTTTAAATAATATCCAGGAGAAGAGAAGAAGATTTCAAAGAAATAATGCACTTTCACTATATGATCTTTATAGCCCTGCCCTAGCACTAGAACCCCTGACCCTGGGGCCATGAATTTCACAATTTTGGTAGAGGGCCTCTTGCTTATTACAATCATGCTAACAATTGACTGCTTGATGTCCAGGAGTAATGAAAAAGATTTTTAAAAATTGCATCAATTTTGTTGGTTTTATCCTCACCCCTGGGGCACCAGGGGGGCAGGGACTATGAAATTCACAATTTTTGTTCCCCTCCACCCAAAGATGCTATATGCCAAAATTGAGTGACTCAGGTGACCTGAAAATTAACTTGACTTTTCTTGGCCCAGTGGTTCTTGAGAAGATTTTTAAAAGATGCCATTAATTTTTCACTAATTCTTAATTATCTCCTCTTGGAAAAAGGCTTGGCCCTTCATTTGAAACTAGAAATATGTCAATAGGACATGAATGCCCCACCGAGGGTATATTAGTAATGCAACATGAAAATTTGTATTAGTTTATGAAATTTGAGAAGATCTTGAATAGTTTCTTTAAAATTGAAATCTAAAAAGTTTGATACAGATGATCAATTCTCACCAAATTATGAATAACTGCATAAGCGTACGTAAATAAATCTTAAATAGTTTCTTTAAAACTAAGCAAAATGCAAATTTAAGAAAAGTGAGGTCAAGGTCATAGGAAAGTTCAAGGTCAAACATTTTTGATGCAGTTGAATAGTTCTAACAAATACATATCAGCATATTAAGTTTGATAAAAATATTTTGAATGGTTTATTTAAAACCGAGCTAAACACTAATTTAAAATAAATGAAATTAAGATCAAATGAATGGTCAAGGTCAAAAAATGTTGATGCAGTTGAAAAGCTTACATCAGTATGTATTAGCATATGAAGTTTGATAAAAAATATTATGAATGGTTTTTTTAAAACTGAATTAAACACAAATTGATAAAAGTGAGGTCAAGGTCAAATGAAAGGTCAAGGTCAAAAATGTTCATGCAGTTGAATTGCTTACATTATTGTGTATAAGCATATGCAGTTTGACACTAATTTAAGAAAATTGAGGTCAATGTCAAAGGAAAGGTCAAGTTCAAAATGTTGATGCAGTTGAATAGCTCTCATCAGTATGTATCAGCATATGAAGTTTGATAATACTATCCTGAATGGTTTCTTTAAAACTGAGCTAAACACCAAATTAAGATAAAAGAGGTCAATGTCAAAGGAAAGGTCAAGTTCAAAAAGTTGATGCAGTTGAATAGCTCTCATCAGTATGTATCAGCATATGAAGTTTCATAATACTATCCTGAATGATTTCTTTAAAACTGAGCTAAACACCAAATTAAGATAAAAGAGGTCAAGGTCAAAGGAAAGGTCAAGGTCAAAAAATGTTGATGCAGTTGAATAGATCTCATCAGTATGTATCAGCATATGAAGTTTGATTACACTATCATGAATGGTATCTTTAAAACTGAGCTAAACACTATCTTGAATGGTATCTTTAAAACTGAGCTAAACACTAATTTAGGAAAAGTGAGGTCAGAGTCAAATGAAAGGTCAAGGTAAAAAATGTTGATGCAGTTGCATAGCTCTCATCAATATCTATCAGCATATGAAGTTTGATGAAAATATCTTGGATAGTTTCTTTGAAAATGAACTTTGAGCTGAGCTAAATGCAAAGCGTGATGGAAGGACAGAAGACGGACATGACAAACACTATATGCCCCGGCCATATTCATGGCGGGGCATAAAAAACAGTGTTTTTGGCCTCAATTTGGCCCCTTGTGTGAAAATGAAAATTCAGTATCCTTAATGCAGATCTACAGAACACCAGCAATCATCTTTCAAAAGATAAATTTGGCAATTGTGTAAAATGTAAGTGGAGATCTGGGCTCCTGGGTTTTTTTGTTGAAAAAATTTGTTGTTTTTTTTTTTTAGAAACATAACCCTGGGTTGCTAATGAAAAGACAGAAACCTTATTGCACATCTAGAATACGCTACCATTCATCTTCAAAATGATGATTTGGCTACTGCTTAAAATGTAAAAAGAGTTCAGGGAACCAGTTGTTTTTTGTTTGGTTTTTTTTGTAGAAAAAAAAAATCATTTTTTTGATCCCCATTTGGCCCCTAGGGTAAAAATTCCAAAAACTACAATCTACAGGACACCAGCAATAAATTTCCAAAAGATGATTTGGCTACTGTGTAAATTGTAAGAGGAGATCAGGGAACGATTTTTGTAGAAAAACATTCTTTTTTTGACCCTCATTTGGCCCCAAAGGTAAAATAAAAGATCCAAAACCTTATTGCACATCTGCAGGACACAATCTATCATATTTCAAAAGATTTATTACTGCTTAAAATAAAAGAGGAGTTTGAGGAAGAAAAAGTGTGACAGACAGACGAACCAGGGTAACAACAATATACCCGAACTTTCTTTAGAAAGTTTAGGTATAACTAGATTTTATATGGTGCACAGTACTACATTGAAGGTTAAGAAACCAACTTATCTGGAGGACTGAAATTTTAAAGGCCCACTGACTGGTGTCGGAATCTTTTCTGACAAACAAAACCTAAAATATTATGTTCCTACACAGACGACTTACTGCATGATGAAGATACTAAAAAAGTTTACCAAACTATATCGTTAATTTTACTATATAATTTAGAATAGAACTAGAACACATACAATACGAGATATTCTATTTTAACTTTTTTTGATCAAAATATTTTCAAGTACACTGACCTTCATCAAAACAGCAGTTTTTAATGCAGCTAACAATTCCCAATCTTCTTATGTCTGACTCCTTGTAGTTTACAAATGGTAACAATCGCTGAATCATCCACTGATCCCTGGACAAAATTTCATCTCGTATGTGACGAATCTGGCTCAGATTGGCTATGATGGGTGCCAAATAATGAAGATCTGCTTCAGCATTGTAGTCTGTTTTACACAATGCATTTACAAATTTATTGATTTTTAATTTGTCTTCATTTTCCTTTATGATATCAGCCACTTTTCTGGCACATTCTTCAGGCCTGCTTAAGTTGGACAAAAATTTGCAGACTAAATCAGCATGTTTGTATTTTGACTGTAGAATTTTTTCAAATTTTTTGACAACAACATCAGAAAAGTTTTCACTGCTTAGAATTCTGGAACATATTGTATCTTTTGTTGCAAGGTTGATAAGTGTTTTATAAGCTACTTCTGTGACAACATCATCTGGGTCATTGGTCAATTCAATAATACCCTTGATGAACTTGGTGCTGTTTCCAATGAACATCTTTCCATCATCCGACCCTGTCAGACCAAGGAAATACTCTATAGCAGGTTGTTTGACCTGAAGAGCTGCTGACAAATTTAGAATTGGAGCAAATTCACTCTCCAAATGTTCTCTACTGAGGTCTTGCACACTCATACTTAAATCAATCCACCTGTTATTAAGATGAGTAAATAAAAAAATAAATACATATATATATATATATATATATATATATATATATATATATATATATATATATATATATATATATATATATATATATATATATATATATATATATATATATATTAAACATTTTACAGCAGAACAACTTCCTAAATATGTATTTTATAGTTTTTGATTGTGTAATTTTATCTCATAAGTGATCACCTGTGGATCTTTAATTGGAAATAAAATATCTATTGTTTTATTTTCATTTTGTTTAATTTTAAACATGTCAATCTGTTGAAGAAACATATTATGTTTTTGTTACAAATGATTTGCCAGGTTTGTGGTATTTCCAAACTTAAAACTGAACATAATTTGTACAAGTAATTTGTTTGCCATATTCTTTTATTCAATCATTATATCTGAGGGCCCCTATATAAGCTGTTCACTTAGTCACTGGTCAGTGTAATCAGTTGTCCCCTGTGTAGACGGACGTATGCTTCATAGAGACAAATATAACTATGTATGAAATATGGAGATAACAAATAGTATCAAGCTCAAAGTCAATTAAAACAATACAATTCAGGAGCAGAGCAAACATGGACCTCCAAAAACATTGGAGGTGGGATCAGGTGCCATGGAGGAGTGAGCATCCCCTGCCGACCGGTCACGCTAGCCGTGTGCTCCTTGTCATGATAAGTAAAAAATGTCAACAATTCAGTGTGTAAATAATGGCCTAATAATTAGGATGAAAAATGTCAGTCAGCATATGACTTAATGATAGATTGTATTAACTGACAAAGTCATTGTACCAGTGTGCGAAATTAATAGTAGACTGATAGACAAAATCTATAGAAAATTGCGTCCAGTCTGTAGCAAGGTGAATATCTCAAGACCAATTTGTCTATATATAGAGTAAAATTGGCCGTTTTACTTAATAACACTTTTCAGCCAAGGAAAAACTTCTAAAGGCTTCAATGCTCTATTGTTTATAAATCTCCTTCCTCTGATCCATTTTGCAGTACTACATATTTTATTCATTCCTAAAACGATCGTATTTTTTTTGGAAGTCCCAATTTCCTCAATTCCTCTGTTTATTGGAAATACGTCTAAATATCCCATAAAATTATTTCCTGTTTCCGTAAACCAAAGAATGGGTGTTGGTTTGATTTATATCACATAAAAAAATAATTTAAGTACATTTGAAATTTTAACATGAACAAAAAGTCAATGTTCACTCTATAATCTGTAGGTATGCACCTTGGCAAAAGGGAATAGAAATATAGTTAATGTATATAAAATTTAGTGGCATGACTATTGATTAATATCACATAAAATAACATATCACTTATATTGATTAACTAGTACATAAAAATGATAAGAAATCAACTTCATTTTCAGCAATATGCTTAATTAATTTTTTAACCAATATGGCAAATGAAAAAAGAGGCCCAAGGGCATTGAATCGCTCTTCTGATAAACTGTACAACCTATCACTTCTATTTGAAGCCTCTAAGTATCCTGTATATTTAGATAAACCCTTGAAATTCCAATTCACACTCTGAGAACCCAAGACGATTCTAAGTCAATTAGTACCTGAGAGTTGGTCATGGTGACCTACTTATCACTTGTCATTCTCTGAGGACCCATCAACTAAGTTTGATGATTCTTAGCCAATTAATACCTAAGATATTTTTTAAAATTATAACCATAAAATTTTATAAGTAGGTCAAGGTGACCTACTTTTCAGTTGTTGTACTCCAAGGACCCAAGATGCATCAACTGACAAAGTTGGATGAATCGAAGCCAATCAGTACCTGAAATATTTAATTAAAGCCTTAAATTTTCAAAAGTAGGTCACGGTGACCTACTTTTCAGTTGTTGTACTCCAAGGACCGAAGATACATCGACTGAAATAGTTTGATGATTCTAAGCCAATTAGTACCCAAAATATTTAAGTAAAGCAATAAATTTTCAAAAGTAGGTCACATGATTCTAAGCCAATTAGTATCTGAAATATTTAATTAGAGCCATAAATGTTCAAAAGTAGGTCACAGTGACCTACTTTTTAGGCGACCTACTCCGAAGACTCAAGATGCATCAACTGACAAAGTTTGATAATTCTAAGCCAATTAGTACCTGAAATATTTAATTAAAGCCATAAATTTTCAAAATTTGGTCATGGTGACCTACTTTTCAGTTGACCTACTCCGAAGACCCAAGATGCATCAACTGACAAAGTTTGATGATTCTAAGCAAATAAGTACCTGAAATATTTAATTATAGTCATATTAATTGAAAAGTAGGTCACGGTGACCTACTCTTCAGTTGACCTTTTTTGAGGACCCAAGATGCATCAACTTACAAAGTTTTATGATCATAGGCCTTAAAATGTCCAAATTATGCCTCTAAAACGGTTTGAAATCGAATGCCTGCAAAGTTCAAAAAAGTAGGTCACTGTGACCTACTTTTTAATAAATATGTTTTATGGCCCCAAGATGCATCATCTTAGAAGATTTAATGATTCTAAACCTCTCGGTATTCGAATTAATGACCTTAATTGTTTTGAAAAAGATTAGCCATAAAGTTCAAAAAGTAGGTCAAGGTGACCTACTTTTTAGTTGACATACTTTGAGGACCCAAGATACATCAACTGACAAAGTTTGATGATCATAGGCCTTAAACTGTTCAAAATATGCCTCTAAATCATTTTGAAAAAGAATGGCCGAAAAATTTAAAAAGTAGGTCAGCGTGACCTAATTTTGAGTCAACATGATATGAGGTCCTTAGATGCATCAACTGACAAGATTTGATGATCCTAGTCCTTATAGTAAGCAAAATATCAACATTTTAATAAAATGTAATTTTTCGTCAACTTTGAAGTGACCTTGAGACCACGTCCTTTGCCCCAGGGTAAATCCCCGTGCAAATTTTAATCTACAACATATCCTCATCCTTTTGTGTAAGTTTGGTGATAATCTGCCTTGTGGTTCTTGAGAAGAAGATTTTTCAGCAACCAGTACTTTTGTTTCTATTTTCCTAATTATCTCCCCTTGTTTAAGGGTCACAACCCTAGTTTTAGTAGAAAAGGGAGCCCTTGGGCCAAGGATACCCTGTGACAAATTTGACAATAATTGGCCAAGGGGCTCTTGAGTTATGGCCCATATTCTAAAAAGTTTAGGCACACCGCACAAATGGCCATAGCATTAGCTCTTTGAGCCTTTGGCTCAGAAGAGCTAAAAAAAAAACCCTAAGAGCCTAGAATTTTTTTCTTCAACATGTTACAGTAAACACATTTTTTGCCTATTCACACAAGTTTTCATAAACAAGAATTGAAATCTTCTTAGAAATTTTAATGTACCCTGCATCTGAAAAATTCAACATATGTTCAAAGTGTAAAAAAAAGACACCCTAAAATCATTACTTAATAATCATGGTTTTAAATATCCATGTATCTTATGCCAATGCATACAATAATGCAGTGTAGGGAAAAAGGAATAAGCCATTGAAAAATATACAATTAAATAAAAATACAGATATCAGGGTTCTCCATGAGCTGTTTTACTGTGTAGGTCCAGGGGTTGAAATTTTCCTGGAAAACCCACTAGCCCAGGGGCTACTGATCAGTAAAAAATTACTAGCCCAAACCTCAAACTAACTAGCCCAAAATTTGTTTATGCAAAATGAAAACATAACAAGTTAAATTACAGTTTCAAATGCTGTGGTGACAGAAACAAATTAAACTACAATGTAGTTCTCATTCAAAAGAAACCAGTCTGCATAGAAAAGTAAAAGTAAACTGATGAGAATTTTTTCCTGTTCTGCTAGTCCGACAGACTATCATTACATTTAAATTAGCTAGTCCGAGTCTTAAAATGACTAGCCCCGGGCGTCGGGCTACCGTATATTTCAACCCCTGAGGTCCCGACACATTAAAATTTTCTCCGACACAGTAGCGATTCAAATTTTTTGCGTGCAACACAGTAAAAAAATTTGCAACACAGTAAGATCTGTGATAATCAGAAAATCAGAACATAAATTTTCTCTAACTGAAACTTTAATCAAAGAAATCTACCGTGTTTCAATTTTTGAGGCAGAGCACTTATATTAATTATCTCCTAATTAGGGCACTTTGTATTGCTTCCCCTTGCATATCAATTATCTCCTAGACCCGCTCTGGACTTTACGCATGAAGGAACAAAGACAAATAATTTGTTTTCACACTTCCATGTAACTGTATAATTGCTAGTTGCATTTCAAAATATTATTTCAAAATTTAAAGATATATTATAAATATATGTCTTTGTACTTCAGAACCACGTCTCTAGAATTATGTTGGCACTGTGAGTCAACTGAACATTGCATTAACATGTAAATGTATTGTTTAAGAATTTAAAGGCCCCCCTTAAAAGTATTTTACTATTATATAAGTTTCTTTTTTTAAATTCTGTGATTCGATCAACTGACAAAAATCACGGCAAATTTACTGTAGATCAATTGTATCAGAATTTCCTCTGCTCTTCAGAGCATGTGTTAAACATGAAGTTACACATGTATATACACACAAATATCAAGGTTTAATATATATGTACAACTTGTAGATAGTGATACAAGTATATTATATAAGTTTATTTAAAAAATATATACTTACTTTTTTAAGTTGTGTGTGTGTTGGGGGGGGGGGGGGGGGGGGAAGGGGGGGGTACAGTTGGTTTGTCTAATACATGTGGTACATTGAATGTAAATTATTGTATAAATACATTCTAATTGTTTTAAATATCCATTAATTAATTTTTTTTATTAATATGCACAACCATACCATTTGTGTAACGAATAGGTGATTCAAAAAATTGTATGTATATGCTTTTGTAAATATAATGAATTGTGGTTTAATAGTTGTGAATTTGGAATATTAGTGGTTCACGTAAAGTCTGCAACACAGTAAAATTTCAAATGATGGAGAACCCTGGATATATAATTTTTGGGTCTATAGGAAATTTCTCAGGTCTATAGAATTTCAAATTATTGTAGACCAATTGTCTATAGCTTAAAAAAGTTAGTTTCGCACACTGTTGTACATGTGTATCACCAATAGAACTTACGAATGATGACTTGAAACAAGACTGTTGATATTCTTGTTTCATCAACTTGTTCGTCAATAACTTACCACTTTTAGAAATTGTTCATACGTAGAACATGCTCTTACGTATCAAATTAATTGAGAGATATACAGCCCATATGCAGGTGATAAGGGTATATCTGCATAAGTAAGGGAAGTTGACAATTAAAAAAATAAAGTCATCACATTTATCATAAAGCTTTGTTATATACTTCTTCCACAACAGGAGAGAAAGTTACCACAGAAACTTAAAACAGTTGCACAGGTCAGTATACACAAATACAAGTAAATTATAATAGAATGTAAACAAAGGTAATCTAAGATAACTGACACGAAAACGTGTTGTCCATTCCACGCCGGTACTGTGACAATAAAGTACTCATAATGTAAATGTGCTAAGAAAAAGATTTTCAAAATGTTTAGTTAAATAATTTCTCTTTTTCAATTTCTCAATTACTCTTCAGAGTGCATTATCCTCATATGTGATGTTAAATAATATTGTGATCCAGAATGTATATTATTCATGGATGGCACCTCAGCTAGGCTAGATGTTTTTAATGCAGGTCTGTAAATTGATAAAAGTACAAAACATCTTTACAGTAATCACAATAGGATTAAACTGTTTTATTTGAATTTGTATATAATGATTTACTAGCATATGCATGTACTGGTATTTTAAAATTGCTAAAAATAATTGTAATTTATAATGAACATTTCTGATAACTTCAACCTGACACTAAAACAGAAGATGATTCAGTGAAACTTTTTTTTTAATTTTCGTTTTTTAAAATTTGACAATTGTTCCACATATAGAATTAAAATAAGTCAGTATGTTGGTAAATTGAAATTCCAAAATATTTCATTATTATCAAACCAGTTACAACACTGATGCCGCCCAGACCACCCACCCCCTGCGCTTTTTTTCTTCGTGCGATCATTTCTAGACTCTATTATTATGATTATATGTATGTAACATGTACAGTATTTTCCTTATTCATTTCAAATTAAATTTCTTATAACAGGAAAATATTTGTTAATATATACAATGAATGGATGAAAAACTTGGATTAAAGCCGAGGCTATTCATTTAAGAAATGAATTTAATTTTTGAAGATTCATGAGGACATGAACTACGACGCTTCACACCGGCATATTTCATGAAGCGCGTTAGCGCTTCATGATAAGTATGCTGGCGTGAAGCGTCGTAGTTCATGTACCTCATGAATTTTCAAAAATTAAATTCATTTCTTATATTTACATTATTTTTCTGATGAGTTGCCACAATTCAACTGTCATTTTTAAAGCAAAACGGTTTGCACTATAGTTTTGACGTCATGTATGGTATTATGACGTAACAATAGAGATATTCATGCTCATCCATGGTAGTTTATGAGAAAATGAACAGTCTTTTAATTTGCAAAGAATCTTAAGGAAAAATATTTGGAAATGTAAATATATAAAAATACTTGCTGGATTAAAGTACAAGCATGTATATATATAATTTTGCCACTAAAGGTTTTTTATTTAGATTTTCTTTTTTTTCTAGATCTAGATAATTTTAAAAATTACTTTGCTTGGAAATGAGATATTTTATTAAGATTAAAATTAGCTTTTAATTGTTGTATGAAATAAATATCTTATCAAATAGGTGTGTATTAAGAAATCAAACAGATGTTTTACATGTGATTAAAAAGATATTTATGGATGTGAAAAATATTTAGTAATTAAGATATATGTAAAATTATTTAAATCTCTGAATAGAATCATCTAGAACATCTTACTTACAGAAAAGAAATAAAATACAAGTATATTTTTATGATAAAATACAATGAAGAGCCCATTTTAGGAAATTTTAACTTTTAAAATAAAACCGATCCTGATCCAAATTAATGCAAAATTATTAAGTTATTAAACTAAAGGCAATTGCCAGCTAGAAAACATGCTTAAAAATAAATCAAGTAACTTTTAAACCATATTAAAACAAAACAACCACATTTCTGATTTCACAATAAAAATATTAGCTTTCTTCTTTATATAATTCCAGTCGGAATCGGTTTAACTTGGGTAAATTTATAAAAAAGTACGGTAGATAATTTGACCCCTCACATTTCCGTCAATATACCTGTTCCCACCAATATTTTTTATTGATTCAACAATTTGTACTTTGTATTCATAATAATCTGAGGAGAAAGTTTTGAACATGTATTGGATTTTAGAAAGTAATGAAAATTGGATAGTGAATTCATGAAGTCACTTGCTTAACTCAATTTAGACCACCTATTTTTTTCTATAGAAATAGAAATTGGTGTCTAATAATATTCATTGAAATAATAAAAGTTAAGGGTTTATTCTATAAATAATATTTATTGACATAATTATCCAGTTTTTGAGTATCTGTTTCAAATAAATCAAAACAATTCTATATTGAATATGGCTAAAAATATTTTATTTTTCGTCTCAATTTGCCCTAATATGCTACACGTTGGAAATAACGTAGCATGATGTTATTAAATATAAAATATGTTATAATAACACTATTTTTTCTCTGTTGTTGTTACTTTTCCTAAAATACAATTTTATGCTATTTCAAATCTGCAAAACTAATTTTCAATGTTTACAAGTTTAAAATGAAGGGATAAAAAAACCAAACTGGAAAAAAATACAATAAATTTGTTGACATAATGTACAGCTGTTGTAGAGGGCCCTGGTGACAGATAGTTTAAAATATTTTTGAGAACAATATTTGAAAACAATGTTTAAGTGTAGCAAACAAGAAACAAATTAAAGAAAATAATTGAGAGAGTAACCTGGCGTGTTTTCCACTTATAGTAACGGAGTTTGAGTTTGGGTAGTAGGGGATATATATATCAGGTCCAGTCCAATCAGTACACTTAGCTAAGAAGCTAAAATTACCTACCGTAGCTTTATTTACCTACCTCAGGTAGCTTTATTTAGCTATTTCAAGGCAACTTTTCACAATTTTGCTTTCTATTTTAAAAGGACAAAAAAATCGCGATTAAATGTCTACTAATCAGGTCCGGCACAATCTCTTTTAATTAAGCTATATAGCTTGATTTAGCTATATAGCTTTATTTAGCTATTCAGAATAGCTTGATTTAGCTATTTTATCCCACTTTTTTCTCAAATGTGTTATTTTCCAAGTATGCACAGAAAGTCGCACCTTGGTGCAGTGATGATATTCAACCTTGAACTCTTATGAAAATAATGCAATGTAAAAATCACTCATCAAATTGTGTCTCCTTAAGAGACTTTGTACTCAAAGTTCTAAAAGTTTTGGGGCTATATAAAGCAATTGATACAGTTACTTCTTCAATGAAATTATAAAGGAGGTCAATTATGGTCAACAAGATAATTGATTGGTAAGAAATAGAATTCAGTACAATGAGAAGCAATCATACTTATCCATACCTCAACGCACATAAGGTAGTGTACAGTTACCCAAACAATGGAAATTCATCTTTTGCTTAAAAGTATTCAAATGCTGCAATGTTAGAACTATCTTTGATTTGGGTTGTTGATTTGATAACCCATATTGCATATATGAATAGTCAAATACTTGCGACTTTTTGTCTATTTTGTACAAATAACATTTTTGTGAAAACCTGCATATAAATAGCTTAATAAAGCTATATAGCTATTTCAAGCTATATAGCTTAATCAAGAGATTGTGCTGGACCTGCTAATATTTATTTTAGGTATTATTTAAAAAGCAATCTCAAACAGAGATAGTTTTAACATTAATTGCTGCGTTTGAACACTTTTAAGGAAAAGATGTATTTCCATTGTTTTAATAAATGTACACCACCATGTGTGTGATGAGGAGTGGATAAGTATGATTACTTTACTTTGTGCTCATGTTAACCAGGCTGGTTTTCTTTGTTATTTCACTCAAGAAGTAACTTTTATATAGTTTTAATAGTTTAAGAAATATTTCTTAAAATTAAGTTGCATACAAAAGATAAACATTTTTGATTAAATGTATATTGATTACCTTTCAAGCTTTTCTGAAATTTTTCCAACAAGTTGAACAAAGCGTTGTTACAAAGTGAAAGTAAAAAGAAAGCGATTTCATCATCGCAACTTCTCGGGCCTTTCCCAAGGTCCTACTAAACAGCTAGAGTACGATAGAGTACTTAAGAGTACGCTGGTAAAATTTTATAATTTAATGCAAATAAACTGATTTTTATATGTGTTACTACTTTAATTTGATATATTAAAGATAAATCTTTGAATAATATGTGTATATTTTCATTATTTTAAGAATTATTTCAATTTATCGTTTCAGGCAGAGACATATATCCCCTACTACCCAAACTCCGTCACCATAAGCGGAAAACACGCCCGGTTACTCTCTGAATTATTTTTTGATTTGTTTCTTGTTTGCTACGCTTGGCAATGAACTTAAACATTGTTTTCAGAACTATTTTAAAAAAATCAGTTATCGGGCTTATACAAAACTGCTATAAATAGAACTAGTATCACATCCGTGTACATTACGTCCAGTGAACGTCCAGTGAACCCTAACTCCGTCACCAGGGCCCTCTACAATATGTCAACGTATTAATTCGAAATTTTTTTCCCAGTTTAGCTTTTTTTCCCTTCATCTTAAACTTGTAAACATAGAAAATTAGTTTTGAAAATTTAAAATAGTATTAAATTGTATTTTAGGAAAAGTATCGACAACAGAAAAAATAACGTTAATTTAACGTATTTCATTATGTAATAACGTCACGCTACGTTATCTCCGACATGTAGCATATTACGACAAATTGAGACGAAAAATAAAATATTTTTAAAATTATTCAATATGGCATGTCATATTAATCCTTTGGCAAAGACCTTCATAAAAATGACTGACATGTAAAAATGAGCATATTGATGCACCTGTCAGAAGTATCGATGGAATAGCGCATAAAGGAAAAAGTATTTACTGATTTTACATAAAATATGATTGATACAATAGATCAGGTGTAATTGTTATTTATTTTTGACGCATTCTTGAACTTGACTGTGAAAATTTATCGACATTTGATTTTAGATTTTCAGCATGTAAAAAATGACGTCACAATCGCACTCGTTTACAAACAGCGCGGAGTTTCCCGATAGTGACGCAGTTAGGGTAGTGACGGAGTTAGGGGGTTTGGCGATAATAGAGGGACCGCTGACTGATTCGGGACGTTTCTAGACTTTTCACTTGAAGTTGGTACTTTATAGCCTGGTTCCCTGTCCCAGTTTTGCTCCGTGTACTCCGCGTCACTAGGGCCAGGTGGACTACAATGGATTTAGGGCGAATCTGCCCTGAATCTGAGCCCAATGTGACATAGTATATAGGTCCCTGTTGATTCGAAATGAATTTGTTTAATTAATCTTTTTTAAATTATTTAATATATGTTATCGTATTGGGTCCCCTAGGACCTTTAAACTAGGCGGACCAAATATTATGCGACACCGATCAACAGGGGATGCTTACACATTTCTAAACACTAATGATCCCACCATAGACCTAAAGCGGATGATCCCTCCTCTGGATTTCCAGGGGCCCGTGTTTTATGCCCTATTCACAGATTTGTATTACGTATGCTGTGAAATTTAAAAAGTGGTGTCAAAAGTAAGGTTGCCATGCATGAAAATAAGTTAAAACCGTGAAGTTATATCATATTCGGGCTAATATGCTTACTTCCTTTATTCCGGAAAAAGGAAAATTTTAAAACTGAAATATCAATAAATTAAATAGACACAGATAATCCCCAATCTAATTAAAATTAGATGTTCCGAATCCGCTACCGCTTCTCAAAGTGATGGCGGATTCAGAACATCTAATTTTAATTAGATTGAGATAATCCCCGTAAAACAACTTCCAGTTCAAAAACAAGTCAAAGCTTTGTAGTTGGGGTCAATATTCATCAGGGTCAATTTTCAACGTGTTGAGGCGATAAGAGATTACCAAGCTGTTGAAAAATGAATCCGGGTCAGTATACATGGTGAGGGCTTGTCCCGAGACGCAGTTATAGATTGGGCAACAGGCAATGCCTATAAATACATGTACCCTCTCTATACAAGAATAAAAGTTACAAAATACAATGGACTGAGTGAATATATATATTTCAATACGGGTAATCTCACACACACACTCACCCTGACACACACGAATTGCTGTAAATATTCATCTCATAAAAATTGAAATCTATTTTAATTATCTAAAATTATGTTCATCTCACATAAACACTGAAATATATTTTTAATATCTAAAACTATTCTATAAGAATATATCAGGTCATTTGAAAATATCAGGTCATGAAAAAAATCAGGTCTTTAGTAGAAAAATTATCAGGTCATCATTAAAATCTTTTTTTATGAGTTTCTGCAAATATTCATCTCATAAACACTGAAATCTGATTGGATTCTCTAAAATTATGTTCTAAGACTATATCAGGTCATTTAAAACCACCAGGTCTTTAAAAAATGTCAGATCTTATAAAATATCAGGTCTTTAGTAGTAAAAATATCAGGTCTTACAAAATTATCAGGTCAACAAATTTTGTGTGAATATTATACAATTAATGGACTCTTTCGGTGGTGAATATGGTTTGTTATTCACCAGAAAAATATCAATTTTGACCGAGGCGACTACCCCTTGCATTGACCTAATAAAGGTAACCTAATAAACCAAAGCTTTATTCGGTCAATGCCTTAAGGGGAAGAAGGACCTTGAGGTGAAAAAATACCTGTCATTCAATTTTTTTCATATTTTGTATATTTCTTATTAAGTATGTCCCACATATCTTAAAGCAGTTATATCATTAGGTTTCTAACCTTATTTTAGAGATATTGATTGACAAATACTATGCCCTACAGTATCTAGGTAGAGTTTTAGTTCTCCATGTTTCCGGGCCCATTACTCTGTCCATAATGGGATTTTTTAAGCAAAGATAAAAAATATGTAAGTGGACATGTCTCTTTTAAAATATTTCATAGTATGAATAGGGTTTAAAATTCGAAAAAGCAAGTTCCTTCTATCACATTGCATCTGGATAGCGAAAATTACGTACTTTTTAAGACAACTTTAACAACAAAAAACGTAATTTACCAAAAATGCTATCATTCAATATTTTTAAATTTACGTTGAAATGTAAGTCCTTCAAATTATTGATTAACTGTAAAAATTTCGAATGGTGAAGCTGACCTCAATATTGCACAGGACATCGTTAAAGAGGGCATAAGCATTACAAAAACGTGTCATGTTTACATTTCTCGAGTACGGGAAAAACCAACTATGACGTCACATGTAGCTAAATAAGCGAAAGGAGATATACCTACATAAGATTTCCGTCATCAGCCATGCAAAAATAATTTTTGTATTCCCCGTGTCTCAGAATATTTTATCATATAATGATTAAGACCTGTTTTCACAAAGTAATACCGCCCCTGTATTCACTGAGTATGATCTTGCTGTACTAACAGATAGTGTATGACGTCACCGACTTGTTGGACGCGCAGTTTAGGGAAACAGAGGAGTGGATCAATCTTTTTCATAATTTGTTAATGTTTACAAGAACTTTAAAAACTTTTTATTTTTTTAATATATGATGGTTATCAAAGTTTAAAAAAATGTTAAAAAATTATACAAGAACAGGCTTTACACGTTTTGCACTTATATAAACGGAGACTATGACGTAGTTAAACAGAGTCATGTGACCATGTGTCCTTCATCCCCTTATTTTTTAATAAAGCCTCGTGGATGTATTCCGACGTTCTAAAAGCATTGTGACGTCATGAATATTGCAATGTTTACGCCATGGCGTCTTAGTTTCAAATGCAGAGGAGATGTACCTAAATCGATTGAAAATAGCTCGTTTTGGAGGACACGTAAAATATGTTGCAGGTTAAACAAAATACATGGAAACTGTCTTGAAATATAAGCGATATTTGGGCTCGGGTCGAAAACGTGATAGAGGGTTCGGCAAGCCTCGCCCTCTATCACGTTTTCTTACCCTCGCCCAAATATCGCTTATATTTCAAGACAGTAACCATGTATTTTGTATTTATGAACTGTTTACGTTTGTATAGATTACATAGGGACTATTTATAGACTATAACAAGATTTAGCTTTCCTAGAAAGCTTGTCTGACGTGAGCAAAAATTTATCACGCAAAGTTAGAATCAAGAAAAGTTAAATCCAATGTAATCAACATGACTCCGAGTCCAGAAATAAATTATTTTGCTAAGAAACAAAAGTTCAATTAAGTGGCATCAACATAAAATAAAACTTGGACACAAATTTGTTCCATATAAACTATATTACTTTCAATTTCTTTTTCTTCCATGACCGTAGAAATGGGGGGGGGAAGGATTCGGGGACAGTACCCCAATAATTTTGCCGATTTATATACATAACTACTTTATGCTTAAATTATGTACCCTAAACCATGTTAGTAAAAACGTCTGATATCTTTTATATGCTCGGTAAGGAATTTTCCCTTGATAGTGCCCACCCTAATCTGAAAATGTTTGGCTGTGCAACCCCCCCCCCCCCCCTCCCACCACCGCCGCCGCTGTAAAATTTATTCCAACGGGCCTGTTCATAGATACATTATAACCGGTGCTTTTGAAAAAAAAGTTACAACCCATAAAAAATGTATACGTTAACATCAATAGTTGAACAGTTTTGAAAATTATAAAATATTTACATGTAATTAAAAAAATAAATGTGTTAAAAATGAGCTAACATCTTTTAATGTGTGACATCTATTTTTCACTTTGATTTTTTTAAGCTATGAATAAATCAAATGTTTGCAAGTTATGAATATGTTTAGAATTTGTTAAAATTCTAAAGGTAGAGAGGCTAAGTATGCATTGAAAATAAACATCCATTAGTTAATCTGATAAAGATATTCGACAAGTGTGGACCTGGCCAGTTTCACTCCTGCTGTTTTGCTGGAGATGAATGATACATTAGAGAATGGCTAAATGTTATGTAATATGTAACCTGTAATGTATAATGTGATAATAATGACATCAGGTCCAATGCTTTGCATAGTTTGTTTGGGTGTTTAGT